AAGTATTCAAATGGAAAGACAAATTAAAGATCGTACAATCTTCACCTGTCGTTCCCTGGTAAATCTCTCCAACATCTTTTCTTCAGGAGATACCGTATCGTCATTCTCACCAAATCGTCTATCTATAATTCCACCTGCTTTATATCTCCGTTCCATTTCGACAAGCAATGTTTTTTTTCTCTGTTTATAAAATAAAATTAATGCGATTGATCGTCTCAACAAGCATGTCAGCATTCGAATCTTTGATTTGACGTACATTCTCAGTGCCAACACGTTTCATAAGCCCTGGACGCCCTTTAACCCCTTTGACAGTCCGTCCAATTACTTCATGTTTAGTCTTCGTCTCTCGAAGCTCAAATGGATTCGTCAATGTCTCTTCCAATTTCTTCTTACTTGCAGCCGACACGCTGCTACCGGATCCTCTTGCAGTCTTTCGTAACTTTTTACTTGGTTTCTGTCCAATAAGTCCTGCGTCTTTTAACGTTGATTTTAACCGTTTTAAAGCAGATCCCGAAAACTGGGACTTCGACTTTGTCATTTTAAATTGGTTTTATTATTACAGAAAGGAAAGAGAGAAGTAAAAAAAAATTTATGATGGGAATGTGGGACAACTTACTATAAATTGTCAATAATGAAAAAGTTTGGATATAAATAAAATCTGGCAAGCAGGGAATCCCGTCAGTAAACCCTCGCCGCAAGACACCAGAAAAACTATACGCAAAGAAAGCAACGAACTGTGCGAAATTTTATTTATATTAAATTTTTGATTGTTGTTTGGATATCGAGTCTAATTGTAATGATATCGTTCCGAAACTGTCTTCTTTTATGCTAATTTGGATTTAGTGAGGCTGGCGTGATGGATGATGTGTCAAAAGAAAGTTTAATGAAAAGCTCAAAGAAAAGCGATGACGTCGTTGATAATACCGCGCCTGGAAAAACAATTGTAACGGAAGAGGACGATCTTCCGCCGTTGCTACCTCTGCCTCCGAAACCTTCTCCCCAACTTGAATCTCTTCCACCTGACTCTTCTCCTACTTCCGATATCAGCACCCCAGACGCTTCAGCCTCCCCCACAAGCTCTCAATCCGATCAACTGGAACAAACCGAAAGCACACCTATTGGCGAGCCAGTACGCTTGGAGAGTGCAAAAAAAAAGAAGAAAAAGAAGAAGAAGAAGAAGAGCAGCAGTACGGTAAATGAAGAAGATGATCTTGACTCTTTTCTTGATCCAGGCCCCAAAGACGAGGATGCTGAAGTGCTTTACGCTAGGTACAAAAAGATGCGTGAATTGGGAATAAATTGAGGGTTTCCAATTGTTGGTAATTGTGTCGGGATATCGTGCCTTCCCAATCATCTTTATCTTTCAAATCGTTTATTTTCATATTACATTTTCTTCATTCATATACCCAAAAGGTCTGATCCTCTGAACCACCGGATAGAGCGTGCCATTCAACGATATAAAAAGAATCGGAAATTTAACACCACTCGCCATCAAATTCTCAGCTCTTATCTTTCGTATGGTGGCATAAACACATCTCAAAAGGCGTTTCTCGGTAATGGTGATGAGGTTGATCCTGAAGATGATGCTGACATCATAGCTGCGAAACAAGCGACTGATTTGATTGATGACGATGTTATTGATAGCTCTGAAGTTGCATTTAC